ACTGCTGCTACTTTTCATTAGCACGAAGGTAATATGGAGTAAAAAAGTGTCTATGGATCTTTAACTCTTTGCACATACCTTTTAATTTTTTTCCTTAGAATTGTGCATCGTTATCTAATACAATAGAGTTGGGGATCCTAAAACGACAAATAATATTTTTTCAAATGAACTTATAGGTATTAGATTAGGTGATGTTGGTAAAAGGTTCTGCTTTGATACATTTGGTGAAATAATTTGCTGTTATAAACATGAAACCTCATGCTAGCTCTTTCTCTTTGTAAAGGTCCAACAAAATCAATACCCCACTTGTAAAAGCTAAGGGATATGGACGATAATCAACTTTTGTGAAGGTTATCGAAGTATAACTGCGAACCTTTGACACTTCACATTTTCTGGCGAAACCAATGGCATCCTTTCTCATAGTTGGCCAGTAATATCCATATTTTGATGACTTATGTGGTAGGAAGTGTCCATCAGTGTGATCTCCATGTATACCTTCATGAATTTTTTCTAATTACATACATTGCTTCCCTATTACCTTCGCATCTCAACAAAGGGATGTACTCCCTCTCTTGGACATGGTTCTATCGTGTAATATATATTTGGCCTTTATGCATAATTTTTCTGCCTTTTTTTTTTTTTGTCTCCAGGAGGTTTGCATTTCTCGGGTATGATATAATCTCTTGTATTGATGGGGTATCGCTTTGGATCTATAGGCTCTCTTCCTTTTCTAGCTGATAGATAGGTTTGTGAATAATTCTATATTTACAATTTCAAATAACTTAGCATCTTTAGTGCTCTCTAACTTGGATAGAGCATCATTATATCCATTTTCTTCTCTTGATATTTGCGATAGTTCAAACTTATTGAAATATCACTTTTCAGCGAACTTTTTGTTAACCTAGTTACTACCAGCTGCGAATCACTCTTTGCTTCAATTCTATGCACACGCGTTTCTTTAGCTGGCAGCAGGCTAGGTAGAAAAGCTTCATATTCCGTTACATTGTTAGTCGTTTTAAATGCGAACCTTAGTGCATAGTTTAATTTATGTCCCTCTGTACTAATCAAGATTATTCCAGCCCTAGCATGACCTTTCCTTGATGAACCATCGGCAAATAATTTATAGGTTTCTTGTTGTTCAGATGTCTAAAAGTTTGTTAATAAAATCTGTTATTGCCTTTGCTTTGATTGCAAATTGCCCTTTACAGTTTATTTCAAAAGGTCGTAATTCCATTGCCCACTTTAGCATTGTTCATGATGCATTAGGCTTTTGCAATCTTTGCTTGAGCTGGAATTTAGTCAGTACTTCAATACTTTGGCTTTGAAAGTATGGTCGAAGCTTTCGCGATGCTACTACTAAAGCTAGGGCTAATTATTATCTATCCTCGACAACTTGTAAAGCTTTATCTAGGTAGTTGTTGTTGCCCTTTTTTCCTCACTACGAAGCTTACAATTATTTTGGAGACTATCATATAGTACTAGACTTTCATCATTTATAGGTTTAGCTAATAATAAAGCCTTTCCCAAATGTTCTTTTAAAGATTGGAAATCATGTTCGCATTCTTTTGTAAATTAAAAAATTCTACCACCTTTAATATTTGGAAGAAATGAGAGCATCTATAGCTCGTGAAACGAATCTGCTTAAGGATGCGACTTTCCCCGTGAGACTCTATAACTTTTTAGACTTTGTTGGAGATCACATCTTTGTAAAGGCTCGTATTTTATCAAGGTTTGTTTCGATACCTCGTTAGTTTACCATGAAACCTTAAAAAATTTCAGACGTGACTTCGAAAGACATTACAATGGATTGAATTTCATAAGATTTTTTCAAAGTTAATGAAAGGTTTCTTCTAGGTGTTTCAAATGATTTTCATCAAACCAGACATTTGATGAGCATATCATCTATATACTTCCATTATTTTGCCTAAACCTTTCAAATATTGTTCCACAAGAACTAATGGATTTTCATCCATTTGACTATTAATTGACCATAATAGTGATTAGTGAACTTTAATAGACTTTGATCAATTTTTAAGAGGGTAAAATTGTAAATTTACACATTTTCACAAAAAAATTATAATAATTAAATCAAAAAATCAAAAACAAAAAACAAAAACCAAAACTAAAACCACCCACCCATCTCCTTCTTCCCATCCTTTATCCAACCCTATACCCTAAAATCAAAGGTCTAAAAATATCGCCACCACCACCCATCCAATGTCGATACCATTATCGCCTCAAATTGAGCCTCCAATGTTGCAACTATCATCACCTCAAACTAAGCCCCAAACGATACCTCCACATGTCACAGATGCCATCGTTACCTACCCTCGTAAACTGCCAAAACTCAAAGATTCATCTCCTTCAATGCTTCTTCATCTCATCCAATTCCTAAAAATCCACAATTTACTTAGAACCAATTAATAAATTCTTTATCCATTCAGAGTCAATTCAGTAATTACAACTGCAATAGTGTAACTCTCTCTCATTTTTAATATTCATATGCACTCGCTAATTCTCATTTGGTCACATTTCACTGTAGGAGGGGTTGGGTGCAACACCGTGTCCTAGGTACTCAAAATCCTAGCCCTAGATCTCCTAATACACTCATACGTATAAAAATATGTTTATCTTTTGTTCACTTGTAACTCTACGTGGTTATCTTTAATAATGAAATTTTCCATTTTCTTCTATGATGTTTTCAATTTGGATTTTTGGGGCACTACGGCAATTGTACATTGTAATTGCTTCGTTAATAGGTTTTGATATTTTTTTGTTGTTGATAAATCGATTTCTGTGAAAATATTTTTTGGTTAGGGTTTAGGGTTTGGGTATGTGGAGACGGTAGTGTTAGATTGGGTGAGGCGATGGCGGTGGTTTTTCGCCTTTAATTTTGGGATAAGGGGTTGGATGCGTGGTTTTGGTTGATTTTTGTTTTTGTTTTTTTAAATTTTGATTTAATCATTATAATTTTTTTTTTTTTGTGAAAATATGTAAATTTACAATTTTATCCTTTTTAAAAGTGGTCAAAATCCTTTGTTGTGGTCAACAAATAGTCAAATAGATACAAACATCAGTTTGTCCCTTTGGTGCGACTTTCTCAGATATTTGAGTTTGTGAATAGCACAAACTAAACATTTGGATGAAGTCTACAAAAGAAGAAAGATTTGGACCATGCCACAATTCTCACTTTATAGAAAATTAAAAGTAACTTCTATTACCTAGTTAAAGTTAAGCTTTAACTTCAATCAAACATTTAAATTTACTATTTGGCCTACATTTCTCTAAAAATTTATTTTCAATTACACATTCTTTCATAAAATAATTTTATGCCTAAATTCAAAAAAAAATCTTATTTTTTAACTATATATTCTCCGGAAAAAATCACTATTCTAAAATATATTTTTCACAGAAAATGAGGCTCATGTTAGAGGTCATTATTATCCACACATTTCATGGGCGTCACCAGTATTCCTCATAAAAAGTTACTAAGGCCATGTTTGATATGGAAGATTTTCCATGAAAAATGGAAAAAAAATTTCATTTTCCAACTTTTTGCTTGCTTGATATCATAAATTTTCCATGGAATTCATTTTCCCCCTCCCCCCACATGACCTTCTTTTGCTTAAATTGGTTTGGTGAGAAAATGGGTTTCCCACCTTTTTTTTGTTATTTTTTTTATATTTGCAATGGAAATAAATTCTATCCACGATTGTAAAAAGATCTATCCATTTAATTGATAATTTTTATAAAAAAATAAAGCCAAACGAACACCAAAAGATCCAAAATTTCAATATTTTCTAGGTGAAAAATTATGTCAATCAAATATATTTAATTGACAATTTTCAATAAATTAAATTTTAGACAATTCAATTTCCTGAAATTTGTTTTCTTTTTATCCAAATTTCATTCTTGCAATCAAATCAATCCTAAAATCTTTCTTGAATGAAAGCCTCATATTTTCAAGAAGGAGGCCACATTCGCTGCAATCGAAAGCCTAAGGGCTAATTCCAACAATGATCACTAAATTTTCTTGAAAATTTCAAATTGTCCTTGAATTATTTTATTTGCAGTAATTGTTACTCAATAACTATTAAAAAAAAAAAAACCCCTACTCAGCATCTTAAAAGCTAAACTGATCTCAAGTGGCTTTGAATTTTGGTGATCAATAAATCGAAGAGTTAGAAATAATGTTCAATTTGTATCATTCGGATGAGAAAATTAGATCATGATGTGATTATATCTATAATATATTATCAAGTAAGAAGCATTTTTTGTATTATTTTAACTTTACTATAATTCAATTATTTCAATAATATCTTATTCTTCATTTTTCAATATGTAATAAATATTACAAAATTATTGTAATTGATGAATTTTATGCAATTAATTAACATCACATTAATCTATTCTCATTGAATCTTTATTTGATAAATCGTGATCTACATGAATCTAGTGTTATTATAGATAAATTTATTTCTATTCAATTATGTAGGAATTTTAATGGTTGTTTAAATTAATGTATTAGCAATTAATTCTTATATAGCAAATGTAGTATAAAAAGTTGCTCTTTTGTAATATTTTATCATCAAAAAAATTTGAATCATAGAAGTTGAGTTTTGATAGTACAATTTATTCATTTAAATTTCTATCATATATATATATATATATATATATATATTTTAATTTATTTGACACTCATTAAATCCTTCCAACAAATTGTACCAAATACTACTTTTATAACACTTATAAAGTATTTCAGAATAACGCGCAATGCATTTTCAACTTTAAATAGTATTATACAAATGTGACTTTAAATTAAAATTATATTTTTGATCAATTTTAATAAATTTTGCGATTATACATGATATGACGGATTAGTTAATGCCATTTGTGTCTATGTTAGCATTTAACGGTACCACGTAAAAACAGTTGTTAACATTTCTCGTCGAGTGATTATTAGTGTAATTATTAAAAACCTTAGTGATCAATACTGTAAGAAAAATACTTCAATTACCATTTTGAAATTTTCGACAAAGTTATAGCAGTTGTTGCTGAAAGCCTGAAATTTAAGTGCTACAAATTCTTCCTCCCCTATTTTGCTGCTTACGTTGATGTCGAAAAATTGGAATCAATCGATTCAAATTGGTGAGAATTGAAGAAGAAGAATAATGGGCTATCTCCTAAGGGTGAGATTTGCGTCGTTCTTCACCAGCGCTGCGTTGGCATCTGCGGCGGGGCTCTATTTTCTTCACAAGGATTATAAAATAGCTCACCACGCCATCTTTCAACAGGTCCGATATACCTTTTCATTTTTAAATTGATTTTATGTTTTTATTACGTCTAAATACTTAAATATGGTTTATGTGGGTCTGTATGCATGTAATTATTTTTTGGAATTGGAATTTAGGAAAAGGGTGCTTATAATAAGTACGGATTGTGGTTAATTAAGAAGGGTTGAGAAAAGATTGGATCTTTTTTGGTTTTAATTGGATGAATTTGAAAATGTGGATATGGATTTTGCCTAGAGACCTTTACACAGTAGATTGAATTTGTAGTCATGTTTTCAAATGGCTCGACAGAATTAGGGTTCTTCTTTCATTGGGGTCGGTGTGCATTAATTTTGATTCTAGGCTTGGGATTCCCTGTTTAGTAATTACAACATAGTGCTAGGTTTGAGATGGAATGATATTTTTGAACTTGAAAGGGAGTTCTGTTGGCTGGAAAAAGAGTAAAGGAAAACTGACCTGGGATAGAGATATCGATATATTCATTTCTTGGCTTCTAGTTATAAATATTCCAAGTTAATTGCTCAAGCCCTTGTACCTAAAGTGAAATGGATAATGAGTTCATAGGGTTTAACATATTTTCCATTAGGTGATTGTACTCTGTCACGTGTCCTAATATGGTTAAGATATTAGCAGTCTATAAATGAATATGTAAGAATTAAGGGTTGTGAATAGTTGAGATAATGTCATTGCCTAATCAAGGATTCTCTTGTATTCTTTGCATGTTATAAGTAAAGAATCGTTCTCGAACTTGTCATCAATATCCAAAATAGCCCCCCAAAACTTAAGGCACATCTTTTCTTTGGTATCATCGTAAATTCATTACCAAACTCATTAGCTAATTACTGTGCAACAAACCCACCAGGAAATTCATCATGGGAGGCTTTATGAAGATTATTCTAAATTTTTGCTATATTTATTTTGGTTACGAGAGCTTCAAGATCCCAACTTCTCACATGCATCATATTGGAAGACGTTGGATATTCTATATTTTTGGGGAGAGCAACAAGCCTACGGTGATCTTAAATATAAGCATTATGATTTATTCATACAATTCTTGGACACTGTTAATATATAGTGAACTTGAAAAACGAAAAACCTTTAATCCTTCCAACATTTCAGACTGTCATGAGCAGCAGAAACTAATGGGTTTGTGCAGTATGTGCCAAATCGACCTTAGCCTCATGGCCAGTTGTGTTGGGGGTGGGGTTTGGTTTGGCACCAAAATTCTTGCACTCTGAACAGAAGAGCTCAATTTTTCATCTTGATTCGAGGGATATTTTGTCACTGCCTATGGGGAAGGTTCCTCTTCTCTGTCTGCCTGGAAGTTCGCTGAACACACACAGATAGAATCGAATCATTTGAGTAAAAGATGTATGCTTTCTGCATAGAATTTAGAGTCTCAGACAGTCTATAAATTTGAGGTATTTATGCTAGAAATTTTTTTATGCTTTGAGGAATGTTTCCCCTGGTGTTCTGAGGCATAAACCAAACACTGATCATGGGGCAAGAACATTGTGTTTTCAAAATGGTTTATCGCTATGTTTGAAGTTAATTGTGCAAAACTTCCTCACCTTTCACTTTTCCCTCCTTTTTTTTTTTTAGCATTTTTATCCCTATTTACACCTTTCATTGTGAAAATCATCATTTTCACCTATTTTCTCAATAAAAAGTTGTAAAATGACAAATATACCCTTCCATTTAAGTAAAACAAAAAGAAAAGAAAAGAAAAAATAAAGAACTAATTACAATTATAATTCCAAATTTTCAAAAAATTATAAATGAGTCCCAAATAAACAATTAAAAATCAAAACTTAAAACATAAAAATCAGACAATTCAACTGGAATCGGACCGGATAGTTGATTGGAGCCCAAATAAAGCGTCTCGAGCCCTCCCAAATTTCCCAAGCTTTCAGAAATTTGCTCATTTAGTCTATTGTTTTCGAGTGCAAGAGCATTCAACCTTTTTATCTCTTTTGGTATGTTTCTGTTAACTGGTTACAACATAGCTGCAGCACTGAAACAACAACAAATATAAATCATATAAAATAGAGTAGGAAAATTACCAAATCATGAAAGTAAAATACCCCTTTTCTAGATGCCGATTGCTAATTCAAATCTTAAGCTTTATCAAATTAAATGATTGGAAACATATAAAATTTTTGGAGAATTAACCGTTAATATTTCCAAAATAAACACATCCCAGATACATAAACTAATTTGACGTAAATCTTATGGTCAAAAATCCAGTTCAAAAAAATACCACTTCACTGTCTCAGTAAGAGCTTTAAACTTTTCTTTTACAGAAATAAAACCACTAATTGTCATTGATGCAGTACTTACACAAATCTCCATGTTAGAAAAAAAATTTGCGGACAAATATCCTTGTTGATGCAGTACTTGTCTGCGCTTCCTTTTGTAATTGTTTTCTGAAATAACAGATGCGTGTGGTGGG